CACACCTAATACAGTACGCTTTAACCCCTGGGTTACACAGTAACACACTTAATACAGTACGCTTTAACCCCTGGGTTACACAGTAACACACCTAATACAGTACGCTTAACCCCTGGGTTATACAGTAACACACCTAATACAGTACGCTTTAACCCCTTGGTTATACAGTAACACACCTAATACAGTACGCTTTAACCCCTGGGTTATACAGTAACACACCAAATACAGTACGCTTTAACCCTGGGTTACACAGTACACACCAAATACAGTACGCTTTAACCCTGGGTTACACAGTAACACACCTAATACAGTACGCTTTAACCCCTGGGTTACACAGTAACACACCAAATACAGTACGCTTTAACCCTGGGTTACACAGTAACACACCTAATACAGTACGCTTTAACCCCTTGGTTATACAGTAACACACCTAATACAGTACGCTTTAACCCCTGGGTTATAGAGTAACACACCAAATACAGTACGCTTTAACCCCTGGGTTACACAGTAACACACCAAATACAGTACGCTTTAACTCCTGGGTTAAACAGTAACACACCAAATACAGTACGCTTTAACCCCTGGGTTACACAGTAAGACACCAAATACAGTACGCTTTAACCCTGGGTTATACAGTAACACACCAAATACAGTACGCTTTAACCCTGGGTTACACAGTAACACACCTAATACAGTACGCTTTAACCCTGGGTTATACAGTAACACACCTAATACAGTACGCTTTAACCCCTGGGTTATACAGTAACACACCTAATACAGTACGCTTTAACCCCTGGGTTACACAGTAACACACCTAATACAGTACGCTTTAACCCCTGGGTTACACAGTAACACACCTAATACAGTACGCTTTAACCCCTGGGTTATACAGTAACACACCTAATACAGTACGCTTTAACCCCTGGGTTACACAGTAACACACCTAATACAGTACGCTTTAACCCCTTGGTTACACAGTAACACACCTAATACGTTTTTTCATGAGTGAGCTAACTTCAGTTTACATTTTGGCTTCAAAGAAGTGGCCTTAAAAATCGGGTTCATGTCATCATGAATAACTTTCAGGGCTTTGAAGAAAGTGGTTACACTTTGGTAAGGCTTGGTTCCAGGGTCACATTTCAAATCTCGCGAATACAACTGCCTTTTGTTTTAATCCAACCGCACCGAGCAGTTCTCGTAATGTGGACGTAAGCTGATAAAATTGTTACATGATACAAAGCCAGTCGGTGCTGGGGGAGAGCAAACAGGCTGATAAGGGAGTCACAGATTGTTCCTGAGAATAAACAAACTTAATCGAGTGAAAATATTTCCGAATTCTTGCCATGCAGTCTTACACGGGTCATTTCGACAATTTGATTGCGAGTAGAAAAGCATACAATCTCATTACTCGGCATTGCTCTAACGTTGATGGGTTATGAAAATGTTGCACAAAAATGCCGCTTATATAAGCACCATTTCGGAATGGTTAGTCAAATGGATCTGATCAGATATGTATTGTTTCTTTTGTGGTAGCCCTGTGTGGCCATGCTCAACTTTAGAATATATAAGTGTGTGATTCCAGGAACGGAGGTGCGTTCAACACCGCTATGAATAATTTTCCTATGACATAACAAAATAAAAAAAAAATGGAAAAATGAACAAAATCGAAAACGCAGGTTATTTGATCTGACCAGTCGGGATAAGAATATTAAGTGTTTTCTTCTGTTAAGAGCCGGGGAATTGTTAGCGTCGACATTTCGCAGCACGTTACTGTGGTTACTATCACATAGTTACTGGTGGGTTACTTCGATGTGAGATATCCTCACACTCCAGGCTGATCTGGCATCAGGTACACTGATCTGATGATCTAACTTCAACTATAATTTCAAGTACGTAGATCTGATGATCTGGCATCAGGTACACTGATCTGATGATCTAACTTCAGGTACACTGATCCGATGATCTAACTTCAAGTACACTGATCCGATGATCTAACTTCAAGTACGTAGATCTGATGATCTGGCATCAGGTACACTGATCTGATGATCTAACTTCAAGTACACTTCAAGTACACTGATGCGATGATCTAAGTTCATGTACGTAGATCTGATGATCTAATTTCAAGTACGTAGATCTGATGATCTAACTTTAAGTACGTAGATCTGATGATCTAACTTCAAGTAAATAGATCTGATGAGCTAACTTCAAGTACGTAGATCCGATGATCTAACTTCAAGTACACTGATCTGATGATCTAACCTCAAGTACGTAGATCTGATGATCTAATTTCAAGTACGTAGATCTGATGATCTAACTTCAAGTACGTAGATCTGATGATCTAACTTCAAGTACGTAGATCTGATGATCTAACTTCAAGTACACTGATCCGATGATCTAACTTCAAGTACGTAGATCTGATGATCTAACTTCAAGTACGTAGATCTGATGATCTAACTTCAAGTACGTAGATCTGATGATCTAACTTCAAGTACGTAGATCCGATGATCTAACTTCAAGTACACTGATCTGATGATCTAACTTCAAGTACGTAGATCTGATGATCTAACTTCAAGTACGTAGATCCGATGATCTAACTTCAAGTACGTAGATCCGATGATCTAACTTCAAGTACACTGATCTGATGATCTAACTTCAAGTACGTAGATCTGATGACCCGGCCACTGATTTGTCAAAGAGTGTATCTGGTTTCTTCAGTTAAATATCAGATAACACGTGCTAGAGAGGCCAGTTTGTGAGTGACTAGTTTGTCAGGGGTTTCGCAGTAGGGTATTATAACACACCCAAAACCTACAAAAAGACGATATATAGCCTGTACATGTCAAATAATATTGGCTGTTGATAATTAAACCGACTCCATGATTTACCGGCTGTAGATAACACACACCACAACTCCAAACCTGCACTTGTCGAAACCTGATTTACCAGAAGCCTTTATAACTGAAATGACACACACTCATTGTGCAGGGACTCGACTCGGGTTTTCTCAAATAGGAAGGAAGGGGAGCATGGTAAATGCAGTAGATATACGTGGATGGATATTTGAGGTAAAAAATAAATATATTTAAGGATTGCGCTTTCTGAGAGATGAAAACCAGCAAAACATAAACAAAAGCAAACTGACAAAAGAACTAACATAAAAAACTACCCTAACAAATACTAATCAATAGGTTCATAAAAAAAACCATGCACATATTTATATTTTGTACACGGGTTGTCATTACTTTGCAGGTGTTAGCAATCTGTGTCTAGGTACGGGAGAGAAGAGGCATTATTCTTACATCTGGTGCTTCATTACATATGTTTTACCCGACAGGTTTCGTCAGAGTGTCGGGCTGATAAAGGGCATGACTACATTGAAAACCCCAACTCTGAATTAGCCACCCCAAGACATTTCATGAATAAAAATGAATGTACGTCTAACTTCCTCCTCTAATTCCGAGAACCTTTCTCGGGAATCTTAACTGAAACTATGCGAACCAAGACGGAAATATTCCCTTGAAACTACCCGTGACCTGGACTATACCCGCATAAGTCCGCAAACAGGCAGCCTGCATATCGGTCGTGTGTACCCGAGAGATATTGTCAAGATCCCTTGTAAATCAGCAAAACATTAGCCGGAGAACACACGCGAATAGATCATATAAATAATCATATCTCCAGTATTACACCACAGACATAGCACTGAAGTTCAGTTAAAAGTATCGGTCAAAAGAGTAAATAATTCTGTTAGGGGGTGCATCTTATGGTTTTATTGATTAAATGTGAGCGTAACAAAGGTCTCACAAATGATTTTCTTAGCTCATGCTAGACCGATCAAGTTGTTGGTTTCTGTGTAGAGCTTGTGTTATACTGATCAAGTTGTTGCTTGTGTGTAGAGCTTGTGTTATACTGAACAGGTTGTTGGTTGGTGTGTAGAGATTGTGTTATACTGATCAAGTTTTTGGTTTGTGTGTAGAGCTTGTGTTATACTGATCAAGTTGTTGCTTGTGTGTAGAGCTTGTGTTATACTGATCAAGTTGTTGCTTGTGTGTAGAGCTTGTGTTAGACCGATCAAGTTGTTGGTTTGTGTGTAGAGCTTGTGTTATTCTGATCAAGTTGTTGCTTGTGTGTAGAGCTTGTGTTAGACCGATCAAGTTGTTGCTTGTGTGTAGAGCTTGTGTTAGACCGATCAAGTTGTTGGTTTCTGTGTAGAGCTTGTGTTATACTGATCAAGTTGTTGCTTGTGTGTAGAGCTTGTGTTATACTGAACAAGTTGTTGGTTGGTGTGTAGAGATTGTGTTATACTGATCAAGTTTTTGGTTTGTGTGTAGAGCTTGTGTTATACTGATCAAGTTGTTGCTTGTGTGTAGAGCTTGTGTTATACTGATCAAGTTGTTGCTTGTGTGTAGAGCTTGTGTTATACTGATCAAGTTGTTGCTTGTGTGTAGAGCTTGTGTTAGACCGATCAAGTTGTTGCTTGTGTGTAGAGCTTGTGTTAGACCGATCAAGGGTACTTATCCCCCACGTACAATATCCTAGGGGTATTTATCCCCCACGTACAATATCCTAGGGGTACTTATCCCCCACGTACAATATCCTAGGGGTACTTATCCCCCACGTACAATATCCTAGGGGTACTTATCCCCCATTTACAATATCCTAGGGGTACTTATCCCCCACGTACAATATCCTAGGGGTACTTATCCCCCACGTACAATATCCTAGGGGTACTTATCCCCCACGTACAATATCCTAGGGGTACTTATCCCCCACGTACAATATCCTAGGGGTACTTATCCCCCACGTACAGTATACGACTAACAACAGGAACACGTGTTTACCATGGACCCAGGGAACACGTGTTTACCATGGACCCAGGGAACACGCATTGACCAATGTTCTGTTTGCCTGTGTGTTTTAATGGCTACTGTAGAGAGTGTTCCCTATGTTCCGACATGATCAGTTTGTACACACGGGAGGGTTACACGGACGTCTCCTACCTGTTGTCTTCTCAGCATGAGCACCGACCTGGAATGAGAGAAAGTGCCGGCAATTTAATACATTGATGAAGACAAAAGTTGACAAAACGTCTTGAGCGATATGTCGCGAAAAAGGGGATGTCGAGACTCCCCTCTGGTATGCTGTTAAGGACTACCATTTCAGCCTTCAGAGATAATTGAAATATAATCGTATGTAATTCACATCCTGGTTCCAAAACAGTGAAAGTCTAGAACTAGTGGAATTTCACGGGTCAACAGGGCACACATCCAGTGGAGATATCTGAAACAATGCTGCTGTGTGTGCTCGTGGTATGCTTCATAACTTGATATGTCTGAAGGCAGCGTGATATGTATATATGTAATAAGTACCTTATCAGTGGCGATACACACATCCACAGAAAGAACCAGTCTGAATGCTTTGAGTTTTTCATGATGTTTGCCTTGCGTCTTCAATCGGCTCGAGAACATAAACAGGCTCATTCGACAACTATTATTCGTTGCATGTTCCGTGTTAAATGTGACATGCAAGGTGAAGGTCGGATGAACATATCTTACAAACCAAACCGTGTGAAATGTCGGACTGAGAGCAGAAGGAGGAATATTCATGCTGATTATCAAATGCCTTTCTTGCACAAGGCGAAACTACTGGCGACAACTTCAAGAAGTGGAACGCCCTGGCTCCAATGCATGTCAGGTTATAATTGCAGATGAAGCTGCAGTGTCACAAACTTCAATGGATGACAAGTATTTCACTTCTGTTCATCATAAGCAAGCATTGGTTATGGTCAGTGTTGACCTGTGGAAGGGTCTGTGGGTGGTCGAGGTGTGTGCTGTATAGACGGGGCTGCTCAGGAGACGGAGAACCAGGGGTAGTGAAAGTAAGCAAAGCATTTTGTGTGGCGAGAAATATATTTATTTGAAGAGAGACTTATCGTCTGATCAATTTCCAATGAAAGCTGACATTTTGAATAAGTGAATTCCCTGGTTATTCGTACTATGCAGATGTTCACCAGTAACGCTGATTCACTGCTCAGGCCCTTCCACCATTCCCGTGTTACAAGTTTCCACATCTAAATACCCGAAACCACAATGTATTAAAGTTATATTAATGTACACATGTTTATCATTTGTGCGTAGTGAACTGTGATTCGTCATTCATTTACAGCCTAGATTGATAATTATAAATAAATATTATTTTTGCATCATTTCATCCCAACGCACACACGCGCATCAACACTCGCATTCAGCCACACACTCGCATTCACTGTCTACAGCCACGTTAAAGCCAATGGTGTAGCCTGCCTGTTTGTGTTCGTCAGTCGGTCACTTATAGTAACAACCTGAGTCATATAGCCATAGATGACCCGTGAAGTGAGCCATGGTTGACCTGTGAAGTGATGATACAAATTGTACACACACTTCATCAGCTGAGTGTCCGCCGGGGGAAGTGTCTACCTCGGGAGGATGCCAACCACGCCACGACAACCTCGATCTGTAGCTCACTGCCCGTTATCAAACAGGGAAGTAAAACCCGATTTACATTTTAACATTAAGATCGGACGTTTTATAGTTATGGAAAATCAATTCCCTGGCGAAACTGTATCGTATCAAAGATGGCTGAGATATTGACTTGAATCCTGTTGAGTGAGACTGATGGTGCAGCTAATCATGGTTGTAAGAACAAGAAGCTGAACTGTCAGAACTGTTGATAAAATGCATTGACACTTCATATTGATCCGGACTTGGACACGCCAGCACACTCTATTGATATGCTTCTTACAAGTATTTAATGTCGTCATTTAATCTACTTAAACCGAGCAATCAAGCACATTTAATATCAATATGAGCTGGTATTATTGTGCAATCAATAACGTGCCAACAAGGCATGAATCCCATCCATGCTCCGGAGGACATTAATGTATACCCTGACACCTCGTCATGTCACATTCCATTGACACTGGAGGTCGTTGAGGACGGGAATGCTGTGTTGTCCACATGGGATCCTTATTCACACACATTTCCAATATTCACAATCCGTTGAAAGATGAATGAGCCTTCCACTGCGATCACGAACTTTAAGTTGCAACATGTGACTTTTACAGGTCTTAGATAAAGAACGTATGCAATAAGGAGAAAATCAACACTTTCAGTGACACTCAATGAAATCAGACCTTCAACTTTTATTGATTCACAGTGAAATCAGATCATCAGAACTTTCATTGGCATGCCATGAAATAAATAGTTAACATTTTCAATAACACAAAATTAATGCAGATCGTCAATACTTTCAGTAATAAGAGATGAAGCAAATCTTTAAATGACACGCCATGAAAGCAGCCCGCCAACACTTTCATGAACATGACATGAAAGAAGACCGTCAACATTTTCAGTGATATGAGAAGAAGGTAGCCCGTCAACACTTTCAGTAACACACCATGAAAGTAGCCCGTCAACACTTTCAGTGACATGACATGAAAGCATCCCTTCAACACTTTCAGTAACACACCTTGAAAGCAGCTCGTCAACACTTTCAGTGACACAACATGAAAGCAGCTCGTCAACACTTTCAGTGACACACCATGAAAGCAGTTCGTCAACACTTTCAGTAACACACCATGAAAGCAGCTCGTCAACACTTTCAGTGACACAACATGAAAGCAGCTCGTCAACACTTTCAGTGACACAACATGAAAGAAGCTCGTCAACACTTTCAGTGACACAACATGAAAGCAGCCCGCCAACACTTTCATGAACATGACATGAAAGAAGACCGTCAACATTTTCAGTGATATGAGAAGAAGGTAGCCCGTCAACACTTTCAGTAACACACCATGAAAGCAGTTCGTCAACACTTTCAGTGACATGACATGAAAGCAGCTCGTCAACACTTTCAGTAACACACCATGAAAGCAGCTCGTTAACACTTTCAGTGACACAAAATGAAAGCAGTTCGTCAACACTTTCAGTAACACAACATGAAAGCAGTTCGTCAACACTTTCAGTAACACACCATGAAAACAGCTCGTTAACACTTTCAGTAACACACCATGAAAGCAGCTCGTCAACACTTTCAGTAACACACCATGAAAGCAGCTCGTTAACACTTTCTGTGACATGCAATGAACTAATGAAGTAGAATGTCACTTATGACACACCACACCAAACATGAGAAACAGAAGCTAGAAAGTAGTTTCGTATACAGTGACAGGATGTCAGGACTACCATGCCCCAGATCCCTGCATGTAGATGTGTCATATATGTTATCTAAGATTAAAACAGCTGAAGCAGAAACTATAACCCGCTTCACAATCTGAAGTGCACTATTTATATCAGCTGCATGCGTGTATAGACATTACACAGTCTGTACGGCAGGTCGGTGTGTTCTGAGATGTCAAGTGTTGTCACACCGGTGTCTCGAGCAGGTACGCATATATATAGGTATGCAAGTAAACGTTGACTTACCTTGAGAGTTAAGGCAAAGGCGAGGAACCGTAGCTGAGACCACATGATAAGTTTACACTGTTTGGTAACGTAAGTGTGTCCCTGACAGAGTGTCGAGTCCGACTGGAGAGGGGCTACCCACACCTGTGTTTAAAAGTAGGGTTTTCTCATCCCAGTTTCCGCTTATAGCTGCTCGGCTCCCGCCACAATGAGTAAGACAGTCTCAACCGTGACGCAAACCGACTCCCGTTGGCTGTACGCCAGTATAGTACTACCGCCATATTCGGATCACTGACGTCACTCAACCAATCAAAATAAAGGTCAGGGGTCGATGGATGAACACCACGGCAAATATATGACCCAAATGTTGGCATTGCTTTAACGTGACGTGACCAAACCACGATAATATTGACATATGGTCATGTTTTCTTTCAACACTTGAGATAACTGATTACGACTAGGGGCCCACGGAACGTTAGATATTTCCGCCAAGGCAGACAGGTATATTTGTCAACTCTTGTTTAATCAGGATGACATATAGCGAAATGAGGACAGCTTCTCTCAAACCGAAAACGAAAATCTTGTGGTGACTATATTTCCGCTTCAGTCTGGTTGTGTGGGCGGGCTTTAAGCTCTTACCTGTGTTTACCTGTAATTACCTTTTACCTGGCTTCAAGGAGCAGGTGAGAAACCACAACGTGTCTGGCTCACCACGACCACAAAGAGCCATCTCCGTAGTGGTTGGCACTGTCACGTACGAGCAGCGGGTGGCAAGGGCAGCAGTTGGTACTGGAGACCACACGCACGTGGCCCCGGGGTATACTGGGGGTCTGCATTTACAATAACTGACAACGTGATGGTCGAACTATAGATTCCATACTGACCCAACCTGGGAAGTTTCAGGGAAGGACTTGAATATATTACTGCAGTAATCAGGATAGATAGTGGTTTTAAAGGTTTGTTACAGGATGAGACTTGTTCACTCACTCCCAGGTGTACGGGTTAATATAATTCTTGACAGATCCAAGTTGATGAGGACGATTTATGGCCGATGTGTATTGAGCCGTAACGTCTGTGTATAGTGAATAAGTAATAAAGTGTGAAGTGTATGAATAAAGTACTATACAGGACAAAACGCGTGTGCTGTCTGGGATCTGGAGACTGCCATCAATAGCCAAACCCCACGGAGAGGTCCTGAATTGGGAAGGAAAAGTGAAAACTTTTGTCATTCTGAAATATTTATGCATCTGTCTGTCTGTTTTATCTACTTTTAACTTATCTTTCTGTCCCCTTGTTTAATCGATCTCTCTACCGTTCAATCTCTTTTATCTAGCAGTTTAATCTCTTTATATATCTATTTATCATTTGTTTCTCGTCTTCTCTGATGTCTGTTGTATTTGTTAGCCGGAGTTATCCCAAACTCACTCTACCCCGTGTACAGTTTGTATGACAAGGAAACTAGTCATACCTCAGTAGTTGAGATAGTTGAGATAGTTGAGATGTATAGGGAAATCCCCGTCCCCACATGTATGGAGGGTGCATGACTGATGTTGAGTGAGATGTATAGGGAAATCCCCGTCCCCACATGTATGGCGGGTGCATGGCTGATGTTGAGTGAGATGAATAGGGAAATCCCCGTCCCCACATGTATGGAGGGTGCATGACTGATGTTGAGTGAGATGTATAGGGAAATCCCCATCCCCACATGTATGGAGGGTGCATATGACTGATGTTGAGTGAGATGTATAGGGAAATCCCCGTCCCCACATGTATGATGTTGAGTGAGGGTGCATGACTGATGTTGAGTGAGATGTATAGGGAAATCCCCGTCCCCACATGTATGGAGGGTGCATGACTGATGTTGAGTGAGATGTATAGGGAAATCCCCGTCCCCACATGTATGGAGGGTGCATGACTGATGTTGAGTGAGATGTATAGGGAAATCCCCGTCCCCACATGTATGGAGGGTGCATGACTGATGTTGAGTGAGATGTATAGGGAAATCCCCATCCCCACATGTATGGAGGGTGCATCACTGATGTTACAGTGAGATGTATAGGGAAATCCCCGTCCCCACATGTATGGAGGGTGCATGACTGATGTTGAGTGAGATGTATAGGAAATCCCCGTCCCCACATGTATGGAGGGTGCATGACTGATGTTGAGTGAGATGTATAGGGAAATCCCCGTCCCCACATGTATGGAGGGTGCATGACTGATGTTGAGTGAGATGTATAGGGAAATCCCCGTCCCCACATGTTGGAGGGTGCATGACTGATGAGAGTGAGATGTATAGGAAATCCCCGTCCCCACATGTATGGAGGGTGCATCACTGATGTTGAGAGATGAGGGAAATCCCCGCCCCCCACATGTATGGATATCACAATGCAGTGAACTGTTGTCAACACCTCATCCCTGCAGGAATATTCTGAGCATTTGGGCAGGAGAGTTATCATCCCTGACAACCGGTTCCTGAGAGTGATTTAACCACGCTGTCACACAACCGGGAACTGTGGGATTTACCTACATGTAGAATGTCGGAACAGAGGCCCACCTAAACGTTGAATGTCAAAATGGTACCGTCATTAGTAACTGTTTTACGTGATATGGGCTGCGTGATCCGAAGTAGCAGTTCGGTGAAATTAGGCAACGATTGGCCATAATTTCGACAAAGGTGTTAACAGAGTTGCCAAAATTCACTCAGTTCCCTCTACCATTCCCACCAATGATATTCGAAACATCTCCCAGTGACGTGTTCTTTTAGCACAGCCGGTATCAAATGACGAGACAAACTTGACTGATATGAAAATGATTACACATGAAGCTGTGTGAGGCGACCTTCAACTGTTGCTGTGGACGTTGTTGATGCAATCTGGTTGCCACCCTTGGTAAAACACAAACATACATGACGACTGGCACCGATCCTAGCACCAGTCCCAGACAATGCTTGTCATAGTTTATTCTTCATGTAGGCAGGCCTCCTGGTTATTACTCATGGAAACGCCACTCAAGCAATCTACCAACATTGCACTTGTTGCTTTACAATCCTATTGTCAAAAGCTCTAATAATTAAGAATTGGTCACCTAAAGATACTTTTAGTTTTCTTTGAATCCTGATGTATATCGCTGATAAAAGAAATTGTTAATAAGTATTCGTGAACATTAAACATATATACGCAAAAGAAAGTCTATAGATCCGTGTTGAACGCTGGTTAAGAATGAAGGAACAAGACAATGGTGATTTATTGTTGCGGATTTCATCTCTGAACTTGAAGTCTGAGGTGCATTGGCGAAAGTTATCAGCCTATAAACGTTTTCATGACGATTGTACTGTTTTGGTCAAATCCCAAAACTCACGTCTGTACTTAAATCGTCTACAGGTAGTATAAACACCATCATCTTTAGTTAATCAGTGATGTGATCATCAGTCGGACACCACGCGTGTGAATAGCTGGCAGCCGGGGGAGTTTTGGCGGATATCAAGAACATACTTTCCGCTGGTTTTGCAAAATATTCCAAATGTCTCAAAATCAAGAACCCAATACCTTATGGTATTTACATTAAACTATATTTACACCAGGAAGCGTAACGGTATTATGTAATATAAAGAGAAGTATTGGCAGGGTGGCTAAACATGGAACTGGATACACAAGGAGCACAGTTTCACCGATCTGTATATTCCTCCTTTAGACGGGAAAAGCGTTACGGTGTGAGATTATATCACATTTCTTCAAATGTAACTAGGAATCACATCGGGAAGGGGAGCCAAGGCAGTGTGTTTTCTTTGTAACACGAATCTCATCGAGAAGAGGGGCAAGGGCGGTTGGGGTGTTTGCAACACTGAATCTCATCGAGAAGAGGGGCAAGGGTCGTCGGGGTGTTTGTAACGCTGAATGTCATCGCGAAGAGAGGCAAGGGCGGTCGGGGTGTTTGTAACGCTGAATCTCATCGCGAAGAGGGGCAAGGGCGGTCGGGGTGTTTGTAACGCTGAATCTCATCGAGAAGAGGGGCAAGGGCTGTCGGGGTGTTTGTAACACTGAATCCCATCGAGAAGAGGGCAAGGGCGGTCGGGGTGTTTGTAACGCTGAATCTCATCGAGAAGAGGGGCAAGGGCGGTCGGGGTGTTTGTAACACTGAATCCCATCGAGAAGAGGGGCAAGGGAGGTCTGGGTGTTTGTAACACTGAATCTCATCGAGAAGAGGGGCAAGGGCGGTCGGGGTGTTTGTAACGCTGAATCTCATCGAGAAGAGGGGCAAGGGCGGTCGGGGTGTTTGTAACACTGAATCTCATCGAGAAGAGGGGCAAGGGGTCGGGGTGTTTGTAACACTGAATCTCATCGAGAAGAGGGGCAAGGGAGGTCGGGGTGTTTGTAACACTGAATCTCATCGAGAGAAGAGGGGCAAGGGAGGTCTGGGTGTTTGTAACACTGAATCTCATCGAGAAGAGCGGCAGGGTCGTCGGGGTGTTTGTAACAATCTCATCGAGAAGAGGGGCAAGGTCAGGGTGTTGTTTGGCTGAATCTCATCGAGAAGAGGGCAAAGGGGGTCTGGGTGTTTGTAACACTGAATCTCATCGAGAAGAGGGGCAAGGGCTGTCGGGGTGTTTGTAACGCTGAATCTCATGAGAAGAGGGGCAAGGAGGTCTGGGTGTTTGTAACACTGAATCCATCGAGAGAAGAGGGGCAAGGGCCGTCGGGGTGTTTGTAACGCTGAATCCCATTGAGAAGAGGGCAAGGGAGGTCTGGGTGTTTGTAACACTGAATCCCATCGAGAGAAGAAGGCAAGGGCCGTCGGGGTGTTTGTAACACTGAATCTCATTGAGAAGAGGGGCGTGCTTGTAATACTGAAAGGGAGGTCTGGGTGTTTGTAACACTGAATCTCATCGAGAAGAGGGGGCAAGGGTCGTCTGGGTGTTTGTAACGCTGAATCTCATCGAGAAGAGGGCAAAGGGGCGTCGGGGTGTTTGTAACACTGAATCTTATCGAGAAGAGGGCAAGGGCCGTCGGGTGTTTGTAACACTGAATCTCATCGAGAAGAGGGCAAGGAGGTCGGGTGTTTGTAACACTGAATCTCATCGAGAAGAGGGCAAGGGCGGTCGGGGTGTTTGCAACACTGAATCTCATCGAGAAGAGGGCAAGGGTCGTCGGGGTGTTTGTAACGCTGAATGTTATCGCGAAGAGAGGGCAAGGGCTGTCGGGGTGTTTGTAACGCTGAATCTCATCGCGAGAAGAGGGGCAAGGGCGGTCAGGGGTGTTTGTAACG